AAGACTCCCATCTTCTTGTGCTCTGTCCTTCTGTTGTTGCTTTGGCCTTGTAACACTGGTTGAAGCTGTGCCAGGCCCAGGCCTCAGTGCTGCATGTTGGGAAGCGTAGATTAAGTGGCAGGGCTCTTTATAGAGGGCACCTTCTTGGCCTTCTGAAACTGGTCTTCATGGCCTCCCGGACTTTGAGGGAGGGCCAGTGCTCCTGGTCCTGCCCTATCCACTGAAGAGGCAAAGGGGGCTAGATCTCTGGAAAGCAAACAGAGTTTGGAGGGGTCTGCAGGCTTTGGGGTGTGCTGCTTTCTGGCTGTTCACCCCTTATCCTGATGGGCTTATGAGCTAAGATCTGAGCACTGGGATGGGCTGGGGTAGGTTTTCCAGCAGGTGGACTTCAACAAACGACCCGGCCGCATGAGCTCCAGGCCCATCAACTTCTCTGTAGTCCTGAAACTTTCGAATGTCAACTTGCAGGAAAAAGCATACCGGGTGAGTTGCCCTCTAAGTCTCTGTAGATGGGCCTAGGGCTGTGCTGCATTGAGGTCACAGCAGGACCTCAGAGGGCATTGAGGTGGATGGGAGGGTCCTGCCATCCTATGATGTTTGGGTGTAGACCTTCCTGGTTCCCTGGGTTGGAGACCAGTGGATTCATAGTTCCAGCCCCCATGAGCCTGAGTGTGGCTGGGAGGCTGTGGACACTTCCTTGTGGCCCCCACCCTGGACCTGGAGCAGACTCATCAGCCTGAGTTGCAGGACTCTGAGCATCTGGGCCCCATCCCCTGATGAGCTTGGTCCTTCCCTGCTGCCTCAGGATGGCCTAGTGGAGCAGCTGTATGACCTCATGCTGGAGTACCTGCAGGGCCAGGCCCACAGTATTGCCTTCCCTGAATTGGCACTGCCTGCTGTCTTACAGGTATGTACCCAATGGTTGGCTCCCTCCCCAAATCCCCTGGGGGCCTGCTTTATGATGGACTTCGATTATCTTTTAATGGACTCAGTGCCCTTTGTACACAGGGACTGAAAGGAGGTGTCTTTGTCCCAGCTTCACAGGGCTAGTAGCAGAGCCTGATCCTTTATAGTCTCCACACAGGCACCGCCTTGTAGCTGGACCCCTTGGACCACAATGTGTGGTACTGGTCTTGGGGGTGTAGGAGATTATCAGTCACTCAGCAGGTTGGGACAGGTCTGGATGGCTCACCAAGGATCCTAGCATCATGTTGGTCCATTGAAAGGCTGTCTAAGCCTTCCAGGGACCAGACCAGCCGCCTGCAGAAGTCTTTACACTGGGGTGGGCTGGTCCCTGACTGATTTCCTATGTGGTCCTGGGGCTGGGGTGGGGGTTTCTCTCTGCTTCTCCCATGAGAGTATGGCTCTCTGTCTGCTGTTCCCTGTCTCAGGCCTGTACCTCATGGGGGAGGGTCAGTGCTGCTGCTCACAACTGAGCTGCATCTGAGGCCCATCCAGACAGGTTGTGTGTGTGTGTGCGCACGCGTGCGTGCAAGGCTGCAGTCATATAGTTGTGCACACATGCATAGTCTCTTGCTGTTCTTTGGCACTTGGCAGTGGCCTGGGTCCCAGATATGAGTGCCTGGCAGTCGGGAAGCTTCTGCTGCTGGATTCAAAGGTCTCAGGGATAGGGGACTAGAGTAGGGGTAAACAGGTATTTTCAATAAGTGTTCTTGGATTTATGGTTGCATGGTTTCTCAGTCTGGCTACTGGCCTTTGGCCACAGTACAAAAGCAGCCACAGAAAGCTCATTGCATGTGAGGGAATGAGTGCCGCTGTTGCCAGAAGAGCTTTATTTACAGAGATGGACAGGCTGGAGAGCAGCCTGATTTCATCTGGGCCCACTGCCCACTTGTGTGCACTTGGGCTCTGGACCTCCCTGGAGTTGCCATGAGGTTTTGATGGGCCCTGGACTTCCTGTCTGCCTGCTGGGTTGATTGCCCCCCACTTCTGCAGCTCAAGTCCTTCCTCCGGGAGTGCAAGGTGGCCAACTACTGCCGGCAGATGCGCCAGTTGTTGGAAAAGGTGCAGGAGAATGCAGAGCACATCCGCAGTCACCGCCAGAGGGTCTCTTTTGGTGTCTCTGACCAGCTTGCAGTGGTCAGTAGGGAACTGGTATCTGGAGTAGGGGGTGGTGCTGCTTGAGGGCACTTGTCAGGGAATGGCTGGGTTTGAGGTTTGCCCATAGTGGCACATGACTCTGAACTGCCCCACCCCTAGGATGCTTGGGAGAAGCAGGCCCGAGAAGAGGGGACCCCACTCACCAGGTACTATAGCCACTGGCGGAAGCTGAGGGACCGCGAGATACAGCTGGAGATCAGTGGCAAAGAGCGGGTACATCTGGGATGCCAAGGGAGCGGGTGGGTCAGCTAGATTCAGATCTTGCACATTGGCATGACTTTTAGGACCAGGCAGAGATTTGATGGGGATGACTTTGGTGGTGGTGTGGGTGGGGCATCGGAGGACTATGGCTGTTTGAGGAGGTGGTGATCCTATGGGGTGGTGTCAGGAGTTGTCACAACCAGGCATCTCCCAAGGGTAGGGGCCTTGGAGGGAATGGAGTGGCTGCATATACTTGTCACACAGGCCAGCCTGTGGACCCCAGGAAGGCAGGTAGAAGAGGCAAGAAGGGCTTTAGCTTTTGACCCTGGGCATGGCTGTGGCTATGAGTTGGGGTGACTTGAGAGACTGCTTCTTGGAGTAGCATGCCACCAAGGTGCTGGCTGTCCTGGGAGGGATGCTACGGATGTGGGAGCAGAAAGGTTGCCAAGTAGCAAGTGGCCAAGCAGGGTGCTCCTGAGGGCTGCTGGGGGCTTATGAGGGAAATAGCGTTGGCCTCTCTGAACCCCCTGCCCATGCCTACCTACTCCTCTGGTTCTGATTATTCCAGCTAGAAGATCTGAACTTCCCAGAGATCAAACGGCGGAAGATAGAGGACAGGAAGGATGAGGACAGGAAGGAATTTAAAGACCTCTTTGACCTGGACAGTACTGAGG